TTCTCATTGCAGTCTTAGTTTTTCTATCTCTATACTAGTGGTACACGATACATGTCTGCCTATCTTGTCTAGATTGCTGGAAGAAGCAAATACCATATGATCACACTATTTTAAATCTGGGAGCACTGTCCTAATTCTCAGAGATAATGTAACAGTTATGAAAAGGGTTAGAGTATCAGCTCTCAGGTACAAATCCTAGCACAGCCCTTTACTAGCTATATGACCTCATTTAGGTTACTTAACCTCTCTGTGCCTAATTTCCTCATCTGTATAATACATATACTAATGGCCCCTTCTTCACAGCTTTGAAATGAGATAAAAATATGTAAAGTGCTCAGCTCAGTGCCTGGTGTAGATGTTAAGACTTAAAGGCAGTTGGTTATGATTTTCTAGTCCAAGTTTCATTTTTATATCTAAAAATTGAGGTCCAAAGATTTCAACCACCCAACATCCTATTCATGGCGGAGCTCAGTGTCAAGTTGTGTCCAGAGCCGGTGCTTTCTCTACAACACAGCCAAACAAGCAATTGCATTCACAGGTCTGGAAAGTGAGACGTAAAACACGGAAAGATCATGACCAACGCCGAGTTGCCAGTTGGCTGCACTAAGAGGCCAGAGGTCTTTAAATCCAGGCCAGAGGGTATATAAAGGATATACCCAGATAAAAGAGTCTGGGACCAAAAGGAAACCATGTGGAATGATGACAGGTGACAAACAGCAACACTCCAGCTCCATTCCCTTCAGGACACTAAGGACTTAAAGAGTCATGTAATTAAAGTTTAAAAGGTATTTTTCTAAGATTCCACCTGTGGTTTGGAGTCAGCCACTGATTCTGTAGCCCTTTCTTAGCTCCCAGCGTTTACACTGAATAATAACTAAAGGATGAAGCCAGCATCTTCAGACACATTAATCTTTTGCTGTAATATTTCAAGAGTTAAGCACTTCAGTTTCACCCAGGAAATGTGCTTAAGATGTGATAAATTGATAATAAAGATTGCCTCATATAATGAAGATAAATCTCCAAACACATGCAGGCACATATCATAGGCCAAGTATGTGGTCAGGGAAAAGTCCCCTCTAGACAGTACTTTACAAGTTATGAAGCAATCTGAAACACACTGTCTTGGTGACAACCACCACTGGAATAAAAATATTCAGTAACTGGTCAATTATATAGAAGCTATTTGGAATTATTTCCAGAACAAACTCCTAGTGTCTCAAGCTGTTGAGTACCAAACAATACAAAAGCACAAGAGTTATTAGGTCAGACTATCTTTATTTGAACTTCCATGCTGATTTGTTCCATCTACCAGATTTAGGTATTTTTTATGGATTCATAGGCTTTTCTAGTTTTTCCTTTAACTAGGACAGCATATGCATGAGTTTCATTACATCATTAGTTTACAAAATTACAAATCACTGGCCGGAACGGATCCGCCATAATTCTGACTCTTTGTCCAAGGACAGTTTATTGACAGTTTTCCAAATACATAATTTTTTACAAACTTAATCTTTTAGCAACACACTCTAAGAATTAGATTTTAAGGATGATGTTGATTACATAAAGTAGGATAATCTTCAAAGTTTAGAAAGTGGAGTAATTTCTGAAGACATATTTCCATATGAGCAGGTCATTACTGCGGAAGATAGAAATGCATGGAATATAAGATGAATGCCAGCATCGTAAATTAAGACGATAAAAGATATGCAAAAGTGGAAAGAAAGTAAACAATTTTGGTAGACTTAAGCAGAAATTATTTGCTGGTATTTAAAAGAGATTTTGAAAAATTAAAAGTTTAAAAAAAACACATAGAGTTATATAAGTAAATTTTATCCTCCCTGGGGAGAGGGAGGAAACTGCTAGAATAGAAAGAATATTACAGATAAAAGTATTTGTTTCCATGACTTGAAATCTAGAAGTAAAATAGAAAATATTTAATATAGTAACTGTGACAATGACTTAAATAAAAATAAATGGGCATGCAAATTTAATGGTATAATTATGCATTTTTAAATGTATATAGTATACAAATGTACATATATATTTCACACACACATTTACACATATATACACCTACACACGTGCATACTTATTTGATCATCCAGATTAGTAGATATTAGAGGGAGGCAAATGCTTCAAAGTCAAGCAGACTCAAACTCAGGTTCTGCCACCTGCTAGCCAAGTGATTTTGAACAAGTTTCTTAACTTCTCTGAGTGTCAGTTTTAACACTTGCAAAATTTAGTAAATGATAACTTTCTCCTGGAATAGCTTTGAGGATTAATCAAAATGAAGCAGGTAGCACGATTACAAAGAGACACATGTTTTTCGTATGAATGAGAAAGTGATTCTGTCTGTATGGTTTAGAAAGTTGATGTGTTTAAAAGGGTTGTTCAAACTCTGGTGATCATTTTTTATAAACTGAATCAGTCTATCCTGTTATTTCATGAATTCCAAAATAGGTAGTATCCTTACATTTGCAGTACAAGATAGTACACCCCTGTATATCATCCTAGTTTAAGAGATTTATAATAAAGTATTCACTAGGGATAGACTAGAAATTGAACCACTATGGCTCAAACACTCACTGTATTTATTTATTTACTTATTTTTTTAAAGACATGGTGTTGCCTTGTCACCCAGGCTGCAGTGCAATGGCCCAGTGATAACTCACTATAACCTTAAACTCTGGCTAATTTTTTTATTATTATTTTTGTAGAGATGAGAGTTTCACTATGTTGCCCAGGCTGGTCTTGAACTCTTGGCCTCAGGCAATCACCAATCTCAGCCTCCCAAAGTGATGGGATTATAAGCATGAGCCATTGCTTCCGACCCACTTTCTATATTTAGATAATGGGTTAAAATCAGATACCCAGAGGAACCCTCCTGGACCCCCAAGAGGGAAAAAAACTCTATAACTCCTCACATTGTTCTCTTCTTTCTCAGAGTACTAACGAAGTTGTATATTTACTTGTTCATTTTCTATATCCTCAATTAAAGTGTAAGTAAGATGAGGTCAGGGACGATCTGTCTTGTTCATGACCCCCCACTCAGCACTTAGAACATTTCCTGGCACATCAGAGATACACAAAAATATTTGCTGAATAAATTAATGTGGCTTGGACTTTTTAAAGCTCAAATGGGCATAGTAACATCCACTGCTGTGAAGGAAAAGCTTTACCTACTTAAGAAAATATTAAGAACATAAAGACACTCATCAGATATTGCTATTATTTAAAGCCCTTTTTATAAAAGAAAACGTTAGAAAATGGTGGCTTGGGTTGAGCTACATACAGAGAGTCTTTAAACAACACCGAGAGGGGCTGTCACCTCAGTGTGGAGAGTCTGCAGCAAACCAAGAGTTTTCCACGAGGGAACAAAAATCTGTTGCCGGGGCACACCACACTTAGTGGCTAGTCAGTGATTATTTGCCGAATTTTGAACTCTAATCAGAGTCAAAATAGAAACAAACACATGTTCCTTATCTAACTATTGTACCAAAAGGCCAACTGGATGGTTTACAGTATCTGAGTTAAGTTGCCAGCTTATTTAGAACATAAAATCTGCTTTGGGGATGATATTAATGAACAGACACAACTAAAGAACATAAAACTGAATTAGACGCAGTAGCACCATTGTTACCTTGACTCTCTGATGACAGCTGGCCCTTGAAAAGGAATGACCAGAGCCCAGAACCACAATGAAGTGAAAGATCTGAGGATGATGCCAACTCCAAAACAACCTCTCCAATTAAAATGTATTAAAGATGTATAATAATTAAAGCAGTAAGGTATTGGAGCCAAATCGACAGATACTCCATTGGAACAGATTCAATAAATCTCATCTAGAATAAATGGGCATTTTAAATTCATTCACTGACCAGTAAGTTCCAGAGTGCAGGGCTCACTCGTGTATTTTTTGTTCAATATTGTTTTCCTGAATTTACTGCCTAGATCATAGTAACCACTCAATAAGTACTTGTAGAACTAATTACATAATTAGTGATGTGAACAAATGAATGAATTGAATGAAAGTTAAAAAGAATTACAATACAATAAGCATAATGTGATTGCTGTTTATACTGTATATCTTTAATATGTACACACAGGTATGTAACAGGATGCTGCTGGTAACCATGGATGATACTTTTATGAGTTACTTTCTTATTCTATTTGCTTATTAACTTACACAAAGTGAACGAATGTATGTTAGTTATGCAAAAAAGAAAGTAAGGAATACATGCAACATGTATTAATATTTATAATAATGTAATAAAAATATTTTATCCAGTAACATTTGCCAAAAAGCCACGATGGCAGAAAGGCTGTGAAGAAATGCCTTTAGAGAACATTCCTTAAGAGGAAGAGGCTCCAATGTGACACAAATCACACAATTTAGAGGTCCCCTGATACAAATTAGCCAGCCGTTACTGGGCACTTGAGTGAACACCAGTTTTGAGCCAATTATTCCACAATCGCTGCGTTTGTGGCTGCACGGAGCTGCGAGCAATGCAACGGTCCCACACCACCCAGAGACGATGAGCGCCCAAGGAGAGCGTGAGGGGCTGTGAGCTCTGCCCTCCAGAATAAAAAGGGAACAGTGGTCCTCTGGGAAGGCAGAAATGGAAAGCAAGCCTACGAAAATTAAGATGTAAAAATATTCACAACCTCTTTATGTTATTATGGGTTTTTTTTAATCTTCTATTTGGGGAAAGCAGAAAGAACATGGTGGTGGAAAGAAGAACGTGGCTGTGGCTAGGAGGACGGTGATGCAGCTCCCATCTGGTCTACCATGGGGAGGAGAAAAGTTCCAACAGATGATGAAGGTTTCCAGCTGAAGTCAGAGCATCTCCTATTCCACAGGCCAGGAAAACATTAACATTGGCAGGAGGATAACAGGCAGGAAATCAAAACACTGAGAGATAGAGCAGAAAAGGTGACCAGGTGAACAGTGAGGAGACACAGCAAGAAGCAGCGCTGACAGGAAGGAGCCCATGGGGTCCTCAGAGGCACTCTAACCCCAGCAGGTGCTTCCTGCCAGGCAGGGGCACCGCCAGCCCCTGAAAGCCATTAAGGGGAACACCAAAAGGCAAAGGGAGAGTGAGTGGGCAAGAAGAAAAGCACATCTTATCCCAGTAAATCAGAATGTATTATGCTAAGTTTTAAAACACTGAAAAACAAGACTATCACAACAGGCTTCTGGAAGTGGGCAAGCCCGGAAGCAAAGCATGGATGGGATGAATGTGGATGAAGAAAGAGGAGGAAGGAGGACACCCCAGGCCAGGAAAGAAGCATGCATGGGAGCAAAGGCAGGAGACAGGAAGCCTGGCCATGTGGCTAGAGAGGAATTTACACAAGAGTGGCCTCGACCGAGCTTCTAATTCAAGTCCATGTCGAGAGAGGTTATCAACCATCTCTTCAATACAAGTGTTCTAGAAAATGTGAATGAACCTTTAACAATTATTTAATAATATTTACTTAATATTTAATGTTAATACTGCTAATAATTTAATAAAATCCTTAAAATAATAATAATTTAACAATTATTATAAGTATTAATACTTCCTTCCAGAGCTATAATTTCTTACACATGGGAAGATGCACACACACTCATAAAAAGACACTTGGTCATACACAGAGACACAGGCACGGATACTCAGACATAGACACAGTCACGCACAATCACAGGCAGACGCACGCACACGCCTATGCACATACAGACATATTTGTCACGCCACACAGGCACACCATCGCATCCAAGCACACACACACATTCGTGCACAGTGTACAGCCTCACTGACACACTCGCACACAGAGATAAACACATACACTCGCACCAAAATGTAAAGCAGATTTCCTCCTTACCTGGGCTTCAAGTATGTTAACTTTTTCTTTGAGATTTTCAATCCTTTTATCTTGTTCTTTCAAATCACTTTTTAATCCTTCCATCTAAGAATTAGAAAACACAACTGAAAAACCTTGTCGGACCACAGGGAATAGTTACTTAAGTCAGAAATTGTACAGATTTCTGAGGTCAAATGATGTTCATCAAATTAAAACGATGAAATCCCAAAGCATTAGCGGGCTCAGCAGGCTACAGAAAATAGCAGACCAAATTGGCACCTGGGGATGAAAGCCCTCAGATGGTGCTGTCAGACACTCTCATCTTTGGATAACCTGTTTAAAACACATTCAGCAGGCGCGCGTCCTGTGCAAAACAGCACTGGCCGTCTGTGGCTCAGAGACTTAACGTTCTCTCATCCTGCCGACGCAGCTGCTGGGGGACATGAGGCAAGGCCGCTGCCTGGTGTGCAGAGGCTCCCTGAGGCAGAGGTCCTGTCAACCAACAGCATCACAGGTGAGCCTGGCTTGCCAGGGGGCGATGTGGACTTTGTAGGTGGGGCGATGAGATGCAAAATGGAGCAGGAAGAGAGGGGACACATGGATTCTAAGACCAACCATGCCATCACCAGCTCTGTCACTGAGCCACTCAGGGACTTAGGTTTTCCATCTGTAAAATGAGAGTATGGGATGCGCCAAGCTTCCTCTTGGCTCTCAGATTCTACTACTCAGTTCTCTGGCTCTCTGGTAAGGTCGTAGCCAAGTAAGCACAAATGCTACATTCATGTCAGGAAGGCATTGGAATTATTTGGGAGGACTAGTTTTGGAAACAAATATTAGGCAATAACATAATCGAATAGAAGTCTGATTTTAAATTTAAAGTAGACCCCCAATATCAGATCAATATGTACCGTGAAGTAAATCTTAAATACTCATACAGTCCACCCTCTACCCAGCTGCTCCCACAATCGCCTCTTCTCTTTTCACTTGCCAGGATGTTCCCAGAGACGAGCCAGGCTATACCCTACCCTAAAATATATCCTAAATAAATTGACTATCTATAAGGCTATGAAAACAGATCATTTCTTGCTCAAGGAAAAGTTGAATCTCCTGATCTACGAAATCTTCTAAAAAACAGTGAACATAATTGGGCTCTGAACACATTTTTTTAAAAATCACTGAAACATCTTTTAAAAAACCAGTTAAACACAATTTCCCAAACTATCTTCATTGAGGACATTACGGGTTCTCTTGGCATTACAGACAAGAGTGGGCATGGAAGACAGAGCCATGTTACATGAGAAACAAAAAGGATATGCCAGTGGGGAGAAAAATCTCATTACAGCTTCATGCTGTAAACATACCATCTACCAGAGAAATACACTTGACTAATCTGACCTCCTGGATGACACTGCGCAGGTTCTGATGTTGGGAGTGAATCACAAACTGCAGATGAGAGATCTGCTCCTGGAGAATGGAAATCTCCATTTGAAGATCCTGGCAACTGGGAATACAAAAAAAGAGAGAGAGAGGGAAAAAAAGAAAGATTTGTTCACACATTCTAACAGCTCTTTCTTACTGTTTGTGCCAGGCCTTCCTCACACTCTTCACTGCTACTGGGCATGATGTGGGTAAGACCCCAGGGCCCCATATGCTGCAAGAGACATTCTGAAGACATATAGCTATGAAGCAGGCTCTGATTTGCTCAGACACGAATTTGAATGAGAATATCAATTCCTGTCAAAAGCTCCTCTCTGGCCATCTGTGACTCCCTCTAGCAGGTAGCAGGGTCAAGCTGTATTGAGTGGGTTGAAGCACTTACATGTCTAAATCATCTTTCCTATGAGCATCCACAGACCTGGCAACGATTAAAATTCACAGATAATTACATGGGAATAGCAGGGTCAGAACATGAGAGCAGAAATGGAGATTTTTACATACACATCAGAAACCAATTCCCATTGATTCAGGTTTAGCACATGTTGTGGATTGTGTTTGACTTTTTGGAGGGGAGAGTGGGGGCTTCCTACTTTTGGTAATTTTACTTTCTGTAAGTAGGGAAAGGAAAAAAAAAACAAAGAAAGAAATTAAATTTTAGCTAACATTTTTTGAGTCCACATCAACAACCGTGGAAAAAAAAATGGGTCAAGTTTGAATTTAGATTATTCATACTTTCTCAAAGCTCCATTTGGGTAACTGGAATTAATTGTACAGCTGTTGGCTATTTCTCTTCTTGATAGTATTATTAAAGTTATGAAGCAACGTGCATCATGGCAAGACCACCAAGCTTGGAAGCATTGTGATCTTGGAGAAGTCATGCAATCTTTGCCCTTGTCCAGTGCAATCCCAATTCTGTATTTTTATAGCCTCTACATATATTACAAAGATCATGGATATTCATATAATACACCATGACATATTCTCACTAGAAAAGAATGAGTTATTAGCTTCCATTTTGTTTTACATCATATACTAAAACATTGCTTCTCAAATTTAACATTCATCAGGAGATCTTGTTAAATGCAGATTTTCATTCACTGGGCTAGTTAGTATAGGGCTTGAGACTCTGCATTTACAGCATGTTCCAGATGTTTCCATGATGCTGCTGGTCCACGGACCGTACTTTGAGTCATGTAGCACTAAACCAGTAAGAGTGTATCAATAATAACTTTTAGTACTGCCTATAATATAGTTTCTCAAAAATAAGTAATTTGCAGGCAACTTGCAATACTTAGGCATTCTTTGAACTTTTTTCTCTCTTTTGGTTTTGCATGAGAGAGCTATGAAGAAGTTTCATTTGCTATAGAGCATTAATTTCTATAAAACTATAGAAATCCTTGCACAAGTACAAATAATATATAATGATGGCCATTGCTATTTAATTAACCTGTGGAATTAAGTAATTTGTCCTATGAAAGTATAATTATACAACATATATGTCACAAAATATATGTAAAAGAAGGTTCACTATTGTTTGTAGCATTAAAAGAATGGAAAAAAATCTAGATGCCCATCAATAGAAGACTGAAAAAACAAAATATGGTACATCCATGGCACTTTTATTTTACATACACATGTATATCCCATAGATAGATGAATAGACTTGATTTATAATGAAGGTGGTTTTATAAAATCTTGCAGAAAGAATGGCCCTTTCAACAAATGTTGCTGAGACAACTGGATAGTCATATAAAAAAAGAAAAATCGAAAGAAAATTGATCCCAGCCTCACCTCACAATAAAAACAAATTCTATGTAGACTATGAATAAAACTATGAAATAAACAAACAGAAAAAAGCTTTCAGAGGATTATATAGAAAGCATCTTCATGAATTTGGAGTAGAGACAGACATTTAAAACAGGGCTCCAAACAGTATTACCTATAAAAAAATTAATAAATTTGACTAGATAAAAACTAAAAACTTTTAGTTACCAAATGAGAGTGAATAAAATTGCCTCAGAATATTGGCAACACAAATGACTAATAAAGACACTGTATCCAGAATATATAAGGAACACCTACAAATCAATAGAACAGATATCCCTGTAGAAAAATTAAAAAGTAAATTGGACAGGGACTTCACAAAAAAGACTATACAAATAGCCAAGAAACATATGAAGATACTGAATATCACTAATATTCAAAGTAGTACAAAATAAAGGCACACACATTTCTTACACAACCAACAAAATAGCCAAAATTTATTTAGCGAGACTGAAAATACTAAGCCTTGTCAAAGATTCAGAGCAACAAGAACTTCATACTCTGCTATTGGAAGTTAAATTGGTACAATCATCTTAGAAAACTGGCATTTTCTACCACAGTTAACTGATGAACTGTAATTCCCTTCCTAAGTATATATACAGTGTGTGCATTAGGAGAGAGATACAAAAATGTTTAAAGAATTTTTGTGCATGCTGAAATCTGGAAATAATCTAATGTTCATCAACAGTAGAATGGATAAGTACATTATGGTGTATTCACACACATACCTTAGAATTATGGATAACTGCAACACCTTGAATGAATCTCAAAAACATAATATGGAGCAAAAGAAGATGGATACATGGTGCCACTTATGAAAGTTAAAAATAAAAACTAGATAAAAATAAGCTATCGTGTTTAGGAATGCATAAAGAAAATCAGGGAAATGATTACAATAAAAGTCAAGATAGTGGTTACTTTCGGAGGAGAAAAATTGAGTTGGGTTTGGAAGGAGCAAGACATACAGCACAGGAAGCAGGGCCACTTTAGGAAATCTCTCAATGTTCTGTTATTTTTGCCCCAGGTTTTGTTTAAACCCAGGTATTCGCTTTTCAACAGTCCATTCCATTAAAGGGTATATTTATGTTCTGTGCATGTTTTTGTAGGTGTGTCATACTTCAAATGCATGCGTGCCTTTTTCAATATTTGTTTAAACATAGAAAAGACTTTGAGGGGATATAGGCTAACCAATTAAATGGTTGTTATCCTTGTGTGACTAAAATCGGGAGAATTCCATTTTATCTTTGAAGATTGCTACTTTACCTTAAATTTTTTACGCAATGGGCTGGTATTACTTTTGAAATAAAAAAAAAAACAATCAACATACAAAACCAAGCCATTTTGAAAATTCTCAAAGACACAATAGATTAAAGGTAGAGGTTGCACTGCCATTAAAACAGAAGCTCTATCTCAATTGGTTCCATGGAGTTCTGGAAGATTACACTACAAGCAACTATCAAATTACGAAAAGTTATGAAAGAAATATAGATTGTCAACTCAGGCTGAAGGAGGACTACCGGTCCATTGTTTTTCTAGTCCACGGTTCATGGGAGGAAGCATTCGAAAAGAAATAAGCTGGAAGCCTGATTTAGATGACAATGATTTGTGCCCATAAAATTTGAACTGAGAATAGCAGCGACTCTCAGCCCTGGCAGCATTTCTAAAATTCAAGTTCCGGGAAGGGCTGCGCCAGCACCGTCAATGTTAATGTTAATGTATCAACGTTAATGTTACCTGTCCCTGGACTCCAGGTTCAGAGGCTTCCTTACCAAGGGCACAGGAGCCTGAGGAGATTTCAGGACCCCCAGCAGGCGGAGCTCAGCACCCCAAGGACGGGGGCGAGGAGAGCTCAGAGCCCTCCAAGGAGAGATCAGAATTTGAAGGTTTGCAAACATTCCGATCTGCGAGTGAGAGGGGCTCACACCCACAGAGAATCTTCAGGGGCAGGGTGTCCTCAGAAGTCGAAGGACATTGGGAGCATGCGAGGGGCGTGGCTGAGAAATCTGGGGGTGACGTTCTGAACCTCTGGAGTGTAGAGATGTCGAGAACATTCAGAGGATAGGAGAAGTGGGGAGCCTCCCAAGGAAAAAAAAAAAAACCCAAAAACCTCAGGCACTAAAAAAAGACGAGTTGAAGACATAAAGATCAAAACAGCACAGAAGGCAGAAATCTGGCCCACAGCTGGTGCTAAAATTCACAATTGCTCCAGTGAGGAAGGAAAAAGAAGAAAAGAAAAAGGAGGAAAGAGCAGCAATGACCTACTTAATGGTCAGACTCAGGACTTCCCTGGGAAATAATGAGAAAGAACTTGATGTTTTGCAGAAGCCAGCAAGCTTTGAATATGCCTGAAATATAAAAACACCATAAACTGTTAAAGTGAGTATTGAAAATGGTTCTCATTGTGGCCATGACCCAGAACCTTGGAACCAATGAGAAAAAGAGATGGCTTTAGAAAGGGCGATGGGATTGAAACTATGCTACCAAAAATACCAAGCTCAGAAAATTTCCGCATGTGTTCCTTGAAGATATTACCATGAAGTTCACTGTAAATAAATACAAATTTGAAAGCGGTCTCAAGATGGAAGAAAAAAGTATTTCCAGAAGCACTCCTGAAAACACAGGGCTTTGGGGCTAAACTTACCTCCATGAATACACTAAAATAGTGACTAAAGGTCGCTGCAGAAACTCTCTATTAGGATCATTTGATAAATATGAAACCTAGTCATCCATTTAAGGCCTTTAAGTGTGAAAATATATCTAAATAAGCTGCCACTTGAGCTTCCTGTAAGCTTTGTTATTTATCTTTGCATTAAAGCACTCAGTCCTGATAAAGAGGCACACAGGAAAACAGGAGGACGAACTCATGACAAAGAGCCAAGTCTAGAAAAAGGAGCAAAGCCCTTCTGACCAGTGTCTGAATCTAGGATTCATGCTCTGCCTCCCAAGGTCTCAATATAATTTTTGATCAAGGTTTTCCTTTACAATGCAACTGAAAACAAAATAAAGTAAATGTTGACATCAAAATAGAATTGAAAAACTTCCAGCTTTTGAGAAGATGTAGAAGACATACTTTTCCCTATTCTTCCCACTAAGCACAACTAAAAGCCCTGGACATTGTACAGAAACCAGCAGAAGAAGACTCTGAACAGTGGTGAAAAGGAGGCAGACTGGCTTGGGACCTGGGACCCAAGGAACAGCACAATGGTGAATTCCCTGGGTTTTCTTTTTACTTCAAATATCCCAGACTTGGAGCTGAAAAGGACAGCCTCGTTATGTCAGCATAGACAGGCAAAAAAGGCCCCAACAAAAAGAGAAAAGAATCTGGCCCTGCTCTTTCGAGGGAGGAAATTAAAGCTCTCTTAATTCTTCATGGAGAGAGGGTGAAGAGAGTACCATGTGTTTCTCTTCCTGTTTGATTCCTTAGCATTCAAGAAAGGAAGGCCCCACCCACTCAGGGGTGGGGAACCTGCGGCCTTAGGGCCACATGTCGCCTTTTGATTGAATCCAAATTTTTCAGAACAAATCCTTTCATTAAAAGGGGTGCAGCAGACAAAGATGAAGCTTTTCTTGCCTCCTTTAGTGCTTTAAAAAGAACAATCTTGAAATCAGAAGGCTGCAGTTTCCTCACCCCTACTTGGGTGGACTCACTCCATCAGAGGGCAACATTGGTGGACCTTGTCACATTGCCCGCTGGCCCTCACTGTTGTAATAGCTCTGACTGAATTGTCCCTTGGCATCATGCTATCTTTTTTTAGAGGATGTTCTGAGCTACAAGGATTCAGCTGAAGACATTATTTAGAGTTCACTTTATGAGCATACCCTGGACAATTTTCTTCTGGCCTTCTAGATATATTAGAAAGAACTGAACTTATCCCAAAGACCTGGTTGGTTTTAATGATGTGGACATTGAGAGTTACCAAACTAATCATAATTATTTTCTTTGGGTTGGCTGCTGGAAAAATTAAAGTTGAGTCAGTGGTCCATTGGGAGCCAGTCTATGGCACCTCATGGTACATATTTTGGAGACTAACCTCATTATATACCTATTCTTGTAACTCCTTGGCTTCATCCTCTGATTTATTTTCAACTTAAGTAATCATGTTCCTTAAATTTTATTAGAATTCAGAGTACACAAATATATCATTGTAAAGGATATGAATAGCATGAACATGGCCATATGTACACAATCCTAGAATATAAACTTTTTAGGTCTTTATAAAGGACATTTATTTCCAGGGATTAATGCAATATAATATTTATAGGAATGAAAATTCCAGAAGAAACCAATAGGTACTGAGAAAAAAGAAGAAGGAAGCAAAAGTAGCAACTGAAACTATGTTGCATGCCCCAAGATGCTACTTCTGGGCACACTACACATTACCCAGGCATTAGAAATATGAATAACCCCTACATAGAATTCCCACTGGAGAGAGAAGATAGTAAGATTGGTGGCATTCTAGAGCTTCTCTGATGCTATTGTTTTTTCTTAAAAAAAATCTTACTACCATCTATAGGCACTCAGATTGCCTTCTATTCAGGATCTAATGTTTCTTTGGACTTCTATGAGTGTGGACATCACTGTTTGTGAGTTCCCAGTGGAAGAAGGGATGGATAACTAAAGACCACACTGCGAGAATAGAAGAAGTCAGATTCTACCATTCCCAGGCCAGACCAAGGGAAAGAATCAGCTTGGATATAGGTGTAGCTCTGTTCAAGTTTCAACAAAACTCAGGAATATGTCTTACTATTGTCCATAAAATTCTTCTCCATTGTTATTTTCAATGGTGGCACCAAAGGGATGGCTTGAGAGAGCCCTTCAAACTACCACAGATAAATGCACAATTTAAGCAGCAACATGTTGCTTTGACATGCAACCTCTGCTTCACGATAACTCTTTCCTTCTCTAAGGAGTTTGCTATCCCTACGCAACTCCTACCTAAATATGGAGGAGCCAACACTGCTTATTTTTACAAACCCCAAATGCATTTCTCCAAAAAATACCTTTAAAATGGGCCTGTGTATTTGTTTGTGATGTAGTAGGGCAGAGGGACATTTGAAAAATGGCCTTCTGCTCATTGCAGCACAGGTGAATGAAGAAACCAGTCCAAGAGGTCTCCGGAGATCTCTTTCTGCCACTTCCTTACGGCCATATTTAGCCAATCTTAAACTAACAGAAATCCCCTTTATTTGTGGTAGCTTTACCAAGTCTCTATTGCTTCACGCGAAAGAGTCTAATTCATACTGGTTTCATTTTCTTGTCACTTAGCAAAGTGAATCCCTCTACACACAGCTCAGAAAAAGCAATAAATAAAAAACAAATAATCGCAAATATTTGTGATACCTATAATCTGTAAAAATTACATAAGCCTAGATGTTCAAACATCTTTTTGGAAACACAAAACATCCATTTTTCTCAAAAATTTCCAAAGCTTCCTTAAGAGTTTGAAGAATTCCGTATAACAGTTGCTCACATATAATAGAACTGAAAGACTAGACCAGTTTGTTTTTTAAAACAGTAACACTGTTGGCTCAAAGACTGACAAAAGCTGTATCATCAATAAAAAAAAATCATTTTTAAATAAAAAATCAAACTCAGACTGCCTGCACTCTTAATGGGAGACATATTGTACAAGCCAGTAGTTCTGCTACATGGGAAAGCTCTATTTAAGAGAAAAAAAAAAATCCAAAGATTTACTTAGAATTAAGTTATGAATATTTGTAAATAATTCCAAGATCTAAGGATGCTTTCTGTGGTATTTCCTTCATTCTCTACAGAGTTGTGCAGTGCCACAAAACTGTCTTAGAAGTCCACATTCTGGGGCTATATGCTTGTTACGGGGAAGAAGATACTAAAATTACTGGTATCCCAGTATACCAATATGTTCCAAATATCTGTGTGCAATTGCCAGGATCAGCCCAGTTCTGGACTTTGGCACACGCAGTCAAAATTGCATGAGTATGAGCCAGACAGAAGGCACAACTTACGAGGACAGATGAAAAGAGAGAGACAATAAGAAAGGAAAGGGAACAATGAGGAAAAAAGTCAAAAGACCAAGAAAGAGGGATGTTTGAGCATATATCAGTGAATAAATAAATGACAACAAGGATTTATCCATACTGATGCCTGATATTCTAGTGAGCGATAAATAGTTCTAGATGGATGAATTAAGATCTTGAAATAGACTTGACTTTGAACAATATTATATCAGTACATCAGAATATACAATCACTGTGGTGGGCTTAGGATAAAGAAAAAAAGAAAAACCTCAGGAAGTTTCTCTTATGATGTGAGTTATTACAAAATAGTCCAGAGGTTTTTTCTAACAGCAGCTGAGTAGCACTACAGTCATGGTGATAGCCACAAATCCACCCCCACGCCCAGCATAATAAGGACTGTGACTGCTTGTAAATTATGAGTATTTGTAAGTTCAAAGTACTAATGATGTTTTCCATTGTACATCCTTCATTCTGTACAGAGTTGAGGAGCACCATGAAATTATCTTAGAATTCCACTTGCGGGCTGGCCAGTTTAATGCTGCTATAAAAGAGACTCATTAACAAAGACAGAAGCAGCGGGGAAGGAAGACCTCTCCAGCATCCTCGTTAGCACCAGGGGTAAACCAGGGTCATTCATGCTAAGGAAGGATTAACCCTCCCACGAGTTCCCATGCACCCCCAGTGAACTCTGCCACCCTGATTCCTCAGTGGGTGAGGAAAGGCAGGCACATGACTGTTAATTCTAGGAATTTGACCTTCCCCCTGCACTCTCAGTCATCCTATTTCCTTGGGGGATGGAAAGTCACCTGTTCGCTGGCCAGTGTACCAGGGGAGAGAAAAGATACAAGGAACTGTTTTTATTTAGGAGGTAGATTTGCAAACCTTTTAGTATATGTAGGGCTGGATTTGAGTTGTAGCAGCTTGTTTTCCAAAGACTGTTTTCTTTCTAGTAGTGTTTTCTTTTCCTAGGAGAAAATAAGATACAAATTTTGCTTATTTGCATAAGACTATGTATGTGTGTGTTTGGTAAGGAATTTTTCTTGCAATACTAGAAATATGGCCTTAGCTAAAGAGTTAATTTTATGTGAGCTGTTACAGCCCACCCCCAAGGGAGCCTGATGAGGCATTCTCCTGTGTGCTTTAGCGGCAGCTCAATGATAGGTCAAGAGTAGCTGTCTTCACTCCCTCACCTGCCTGCAGGGCTTTTGCTCCTCCTCCAGCCCACTGCTGAGATGTGGCCTGGGCTGCTCAAGCTTTCCTACCCACCTCTCCCCATCCCACCCCAAACAGCCTGCTCAGCCTTCTGCTCAGCCTTCGCTAGGCATTGACTCTCCTGCCATTACACCTGCTTCCCTGACATTAGACTGAGTTGAAATGTCTAAGGACACGTGACACCTCTACCTGCTCACATGGCATCTGTCAGAAAGCAGAAAAGCAGTAAATGTATTTTGGGTGAAGGATCAAAGCCACAAACGATAAAATTGCTTCCCGATTAAGATACAGGAGAAACTGTGGCACTGAGAAAGAATATCTGAAAAAACACCTTAAGTTAATTACTAAACCAAACTCTTTCCACCAAATAAATAAACAAGTCCATGAAAAATCAAGCTGGGATGATCGTGTTCACTTTATATTGATGGAAATATGCTGAAAAAAGGGATTTGAAACTTCAGCCTGCTGGTCGAGGTTGCCACGTGAGGGGAATCGGCCAAGACTGGTAAGAGACAGGAATTGGTGTTGGCAACACGGATGGAACTGAGCGGAAGAGATGTTTTCAAACTATCTACAGTGCTGTTTAAAATCACTCCCTGCTACAGTATTTGAATGCACATTATATTACTACAAGATAGTGCAGTGCAACAGAAATATCAAAAAGAACTTGCACATGGACTGATCTGGTTTTAAAATTTGGGCCAAGGTTTTAACTTCTCTGGGCCTTATCACTGTTAAGAAAAATTAACCAAAACTTAGAAATAAAAATAATACACAGCATGTGATTTTCATGTCAAAATGGGTCATTGTTTAATAATCTGACCCAAGAATTATTTAACGATCTCAGAGAATTTCCCTGGGTTTGACTTTATTATTTATTTGATGAAAGCCCTGACTCTGTGAAGTTGCATGTTAATTTGTAGATTTCTGTCCGGTAGAAAAGATAATCCTAAAAGATATGGATTAATTGCCTTAAAGAATATTAACTAGTTTTATTATTTAATCTAGTAACCCTATTCTATATTCCTTTTTCCCAAAAATGCCTATAAATAGTTTCTCAAAATGTTTTATTTAAACCAGTGTTCCCATCTTACTAATCTATTCATTAATTAATGATGGTTAAATCATTTGACATGTATTCATTCTATATTTGTAAGAGTCATATTTTTAACTTCTTAACATCTCTAAAGTGTGGATAATATTACCTATATTGAAACGTCGGGATGATTGGAGATAATATGTGTAAGAGGCCTGCATGTTTCCCTGGCACATAGTTGGTCCTCAATATATGATCATTGAAGGTACCAATCACTTCATATCTTATGTGTTCTGTTATTTTTAAAAGTTATATTAACTTTTTCAAATTTTTCTCATAGCATTCTTGCTCCACAGAAATTGTCTGCAATCGCTCTAGTTGTGTTCAAATTATTTCTGAGGGATCACAGATAAACCTCACAAGCTTATGAGGATGCATGAATTATCAAAGAAACAGATACCATATTTTGAACTTGTAGAATGGGGGACAATGGTGTTTAACAAACGTTCTTCCTAACAGACTTACGCTTCTTACTCGATTGATGGATTTTCATAACCAGGGCTCAAGGAGATCAGACAACTGAACAAGGAAATGCTCTCCCTAAACCAGGGCTCGCTTGGGTTCCTAGCGCCTCCTCTTTGACAGCACAGAAAATGACACCAACCAGATAGCACTTCTCAGGCAGTGCCTTCTGGGAAGGGAAAAGGGGTTCACAGCACCACACAGTGGGCAACACACTGTCCGCAGAGCCATACCTCTGGAGAGCTGCAGGTCTCACCCTATTGATGGAAGTGGAGCGGACATCAATTTAACACATTAACTGCCCTGTGAGTTGTATTTAAGTCACGCTAGTTTTGAGCCCAGGGCCTCGGGAAGCACATGAAACTCACGTCTCTTCCGCTTGAGAGCTGCGTGAACTATTTTTCAAGTTGTGTACAACTCATGCACAGAAAACAATAAAAAATAACAAATTTTTCATTAAATTAGAAAGGATCATTTTCTTTTCAAAGTTTTGATTCTATTTTTGTAATACACACCATGGTCCCAAGGAAAAAAAATTTCTAGTGGGGCAGTCAATGATAAATGATTTAGGAACCAAGGGTATCATTTTGATCCGGCATCAGAGAGGATAGGGACATGGTGGAAAAGGTTGAGAACTAGAAACTTTTGAGGATTGTGGCATAGTTTTTGGTTCATGCTGTCTTCATTTATAAAATGATGATGAGGAACTATGGTGGTCTCAAAAGTGCCTTTGAGCTCTAAAATTTTAATAGAGCTAAATCAACGACACTAGAAAACAAATATGATGTAACAGAATTGCGCTGCTAGCAAAAGGAACATATGCCATATTAAAATGCTCTTATTGGGCGTTTTCCGCCGGCTTATCACTGTGCTTATGGAATTCATTCTCACTGCATTCCTGATTAAAGTGGGACAGATGGTGAAGGTTTTAAGTAATGTGTTCATTACCAGACCTCATACCACTAATGGCCATTTACTGGAGCAGTGGATTGTTCAAGTGAGTAGCAAATAAATCCTTCTCCAGGGGGCACCTACTACCAGGGCAATATTTATCAACCTTTGTGAGGATGTTCATTTTTAATTTTCACGTCTTTTTTGAACTCGTGTCTTTTTCCTATTAATGTAAAAGGCTCAGTGCCCCCTCCCCTCGTTCTGACATGCACTCTCCACCTGAGACGCCCTTCCCCGCAGCCCATCTTCTCACTATCTCCTTAAACCAACAAGATGTTGCCAAGCTTTGCTTCTTACAGTCTTATTTATTTACTTGTTTGTTTCATAAACATAAAATATCATTAAATCAAATATTAAAAAAAAAAACAAAAATAAAACTCCTGCACATTGCCCTTCCCCTCCATCCCCGCTCACCTCTGCCTTCCAGAGATTCTGATAGGCTCCACTCTAGGAAGTCACTAAACTAGAGCATTCTGGAAGGTTGCTGCATGGCTTTGCTGAGCCATGGGCATCCTGTCCACTTGCTCTGTCCCAGAGCTCCTAGAGACAGCCCACAGTCATGGGTCAATATCTAGGCAGTCCCACAGAAGAATGGGCTCAGGACAAAAGATAAAAACAAAACAAAACAAATATCTAGGCAGGAGGTAGGCCATCACTTCTCAAAAATGTCCTGCCAGCATCTGAGCCGCTGAACTTTATTCTGAGGTACATTCCTCTACCTCCAACAGACTTCAGCCTCCTGAAAGTACCCCTAGGAGAATGAAAGAAAGGAGTTCTGGGAATGTCTTTGAGCCGCACATGAGCCTAATATACTACATTGTTATCTCCATGAAAAGAGCTTATATCTGGTTCATTCACAAATATATTTCCAGCCCCTAGTTCTGTGTGGCACATGGTAGGTGATCAAATATTTATTGACTGAGCAGTTGGGTATGTAACACCCCATAACTCCAAGATGAACGCACATCTAGTACAGATTTCCCAGGGTTACTAGGAAATAAAGAAATTATCTTCTACTCTTCTTTTGTTAATTTTCAGGCCCTGACATGTGGCCACTAAACCTGACCCAGTGTCACCGGATTTGAGATAGGGCGATTGCAAGTGTAAACTTAAATTTCAAGCTAGTTAATCAAATTGTTTGGTTAAACAACCTATTTGTTATCCAGGCTTGTCTGTCTTTCCTAAATGCAAACATTCCTTGTGCTATCAGTTTGTTAAACTATTTATTACAGGATAAAGCATTCTAACACTACCAAGTACTCAACCAAATGTTACAGTTTTTCCAATGTAATTATAAACTGTCATGCCTGGATAAACCAACTGCTTAAGGACATTCTAGCTCAGTGATTCTGCTGAAGTCTAAGTGACTAAAGCATTCTGGAAGGTTGCTTCCAGAATGCTTCACTAAGTGACCCACAGCATAGACACAGCTGAATATTATTAGTATTAGACGTAGTTAAGTTTGGGCTTATTTAATTTTTGTGATAGCCTCAGGGCCTTCATTAAGATTACAAATTCAACCAAGTTCGCAGTGTTATAAAACTTTAAATTCTTGGGAAATAGTTTCAAATTAATCAAAGTTCCTTTGGTAAGAAACCTGAATATTGAAATGTGATACTTTTGAAGTGACATTTACAAAACGGCATAAACCCAGGCAAACTCATAAAACAAAGTTGAGAAGAGCAGAGGCAAATCAGGGAATTAATGCAATAAATGTAAAAATGTATTGGGCAATATTTACTAGAAGCCAAATCCTACATTTTTACCTATTCCATATTCAGTTTCAGAGATGACAATTTTCTTTGTTTTCCTGTAAAAAAGTCCTTGATTGTCTGAATTCTAAATGCTAAGGCATACATTAAATTTATGTGTTTACCTTCTGTGTGTATTTGGAGTGCTAGCTATTTAAAGGAACACTGCATTATACTTTTTATAATTTTTGTTGTATTATCACTTTTCCCTAAATATACCTCTTGAAAGTTTCAATTTCTGTAGAATGATTTTTCTTAATGGGAGCTGTGTCTCTCCTAGGGCAGTCGTAGGTTTTTACAAACCCAAAGTAGGCAAAAATGCATTGACTGCATTGACTCTGATACATAAAAATGCCATGGCGATATATTATACTATTACTCCTACTTGGTGGACTTTGGATCCCTTCCATTATTTTCATTTACAGCCTCACCTGGTTCTCCTTTCTAAGACAGATGTTTACTAGAAAGAGAAAGTGAGAGCCAGGTGTGGTGGCTCACACCTGTAATCCCAGCACTTGGGGAGGCTGAGGCAGGAGGATTGCCTAAGCCCAGGAGTTTGAGACCAGCCTGGGTAACATAGGGAGACCTCACCTCTACAAAAAATTTAAAAATTAGCCAGGCATCATAGCACATGCCTTTAGTCCCAGCAACTCAGGAGGCTGGAGTGGGAGAATCGCTTGAGGCCAGGAGTTTGAGGTTGCAGTGAACTATGATGATGTCACTGCACTCCAGCCTGGGTGACAGAGCAAGAACCTGTCTCAAAAAAAAAAAAAAAAAAAAAAGTGATAGATGGTATGGTAGGACTACAGTATTTGCTGAGAGGTAAATCAATAACTACATTACAGTTCCTATTAAATGTTTAAGGAAGAAACTAATATCACTGATGACTTCCTAAGACCAGGTATTGTAAAGAGTGTTTCCAGTTAACATTATCTTATTTAATGTAATGTCTTATTCATTTTTGTGTTATTTTCTTTCATTCTCATCCTAACTGTCAGGAAGAAATTCCTCTAATGGCTTACTTTTTCCATTCTCTGTACAAGGTTCTCCAATTCTGTGATTTGACTGTGTTTTTCTTCAAGTTTTTCAGTGACTTGATTCAGATTTTCAACCCGTTGTTTCAATTTCTGTTCTTCTTCAAGCTTGTTAACCTTTGATCAGAAAAACAGTCATCAAACTCTTGTTTTTATTAAACCTATGCACATATTATGTCCCTCCATAATTTTCTAATTATCCAAAAAAACTAAGAATTAACACTTGTTTAGAATTACTCTTTTGATTTCAGTGTTTCCTTCAAAATAAACCTGATAGACTACAACACTAAATCAGTAGAGAATTAGTAATGTGTAAATATTTTTCCTAGAATGTTCACATTTGTTACCATAAAACATACTTCCTGAACTGGTATAAAAAGGAGAGAGATTAATTTAAGAAAAGCAAAAGTTTTGACTTTTCCACAACAAAAATTATCTGAAACAACAACAAAAAAAAATCTTTGATCTTCAACTTAAAAATGTTTTCTTTTCAATCAGAAAGCATCAGAAAAGCAAAATAATTCTGTGCAGTGTGTCATGGGGTTACTTCAGAGGCATAGAGCAGGAGTTGCACTAAAAGACCCCAGAGAAGAGAAGTCTCCAGCCCCGTAAATCACATTGGGAGTGTTTCAACAGGCTTCTTGACTGCTCTGGGTGTATTTAACACAACTCGAGATTTCACAATGAAAAGTACAAGTGTCTGACTTTCCCTGAAAACACCAGGTAGCCGTTCCTGCCAGGCCACTCCAGGCTGGGGCTGAAGCCCCCATTACGGGGACACATGCAACCTGTCCCCCCGAAGGCCTCACTGCTCAAACAGTGCACCCCTCCATCCACACCTTCCCCTTCACTTCTCTCACTTAATGTTTCTCATCTCCACCCGGCATGCAGGTGAGTTTTCGACCATCACCACCACCTGCAGCATGAGAGGGTGTCACAGTAGGAAATCCCTTGGGGACTTTCCTGAGGCCTGAGCTGGCAGAGACCCAGGTGCCCCACCTTGGCACGAATGAACTTCCCCATTAGCTATTTTACATTTTGAATTTCAGCAAACATACACACATACACACACACACACACACACACACACACTCTCTCTCTCTCTCTTTTTTTCTCCTCCAGTTCTAGAATACATTTTTAGACAGAGTTTCATCTGTCCTAGTACACATACTTCAGATTTAAAAACAAACAAAAAACATATATCTATGAGTGAGTGTACATGTTTTTTATTTTTTTAATTTATATATATTTTAAAAATATATAAAATACATATTTTTATATTTTACTATGTATATTCACACCTATAGATATGTTTTTGTTTGTTTTGTTTTTATTATTTTTTTAATCTGAAGAATGTATTCCAGGACCAAAACAATTTTGAAACCATTTGTTTAATGCAACTCTTTTATTACAGAGACAAGGCAACTCAAGTGCAGTGAGGCAGAATGAGTCAGTCTGGGTCATCCAGTGAGTCAAGGGCAAAACCGGAAGAGGAGTCACCAGCCAGACTCAGCAGGGCCAGCCCTGATTCCCAGGCAGGGCGACCCTTCCTCCCTCCACATGTGCTCACAGGGGCTCTAGGCAAGAACGGCAACAACACCGTAGTTCTGCAACATCTGGGTGTCAGGCTAAGTGTGGGGGGAAGGGTGTGGGAGGGGGGACTGAGCACACAAAAGTCACTTGGCCATTGCTTGTTTCATATCTAACTCGTCCAAAACAAGGGACTTGAAGGGCTCTGGCTCCAAGCAGGGGTTAGTGGGGGCCAGTTCTCCAACAGACAAGCTATGAGTTTGGTACCTGGAGTAAGTGTTTACTGTCTTCATGCTTTTTCTTCACTTCTTCAGACCGTGTTTGGTAGTTTTCAAATAATCTCTGGGCCACGCTTCTCAGAGCCGCTGCTCCTGCTTCTCTGGAGGCTTCCAGCTAGAACAGAAGGTCACTGTGCATGTTTTGACATTTACAACAAAAAGCGTTAAAGACAGAACAGTTTGAGGGGCAATTGAAAACACAGAGGCTGTAACTGTATCATGGGTACCCTCCTGAGCAATGGATAGGAGAAAAGACACTTTTATCTGGTAAGAGGAAAATGTAAAATGAGAGACCCCCTACTTAGAGGGACTGTCAACAAAAGCAGATTTGCCCTGACCAAGCCAAAGCAGAGCTGGCAGGCAGCAATGCCCTGCAGCTATAGACCTCACCCTTGAATGAATCCCTTGGTACCCTATCAGCTTAAGCATTTATTTGCAAGGCTTTCATCCTTAACGGCCACAACAGTACTAACAGGTGCATGCTCCTGAAATAGGGACAACGTTAAAGTGTTAAGAGCAATAATAAAGCTAAAGTGTCATGAATCTTTCAAGGATTTAATCTAAAAAAAGAATCAAGGATGGCTGCAGAGATTTACCTACCAAGAGATACATTGCAGGACTGCATGCAAAATAAACCCCAAAAAAGAAAATCTAAAGCATTCAACAAGAGAGTAATTAAACAAATAATGATACATTTGACTATGAAGATGATAATATTTTTCAAATATGTAAACACTTTAAAATTGATTGTCATAAAAACACTTAATATGAGATTTACTCTCTTAAATTTGTAAGCGACCAATACGATATTGTTAATTATAGGGAAAATGTTGTACAACAGATGTCTAGAACTTGCTCATCTTGCATGATTGAAGTTTTATAACCATTGAATTTTTGTAAGTTTTTTAATACTTAAAAAAAAGTAGTTTCCAAAATAAAACAGTGAGATTCAATTTGTGAAATATAAAAATGCTTTTCTGTATTTGTGAGCACACATGTGGACCCATGAGTGTGCGTGGATGTCTCTCTGCTTTTACAGACACATGAATGCTAACAATCTATCTTGTTATCCCAAAGCCTCAAAATACAAAATTTGAAATTTCTCCTAATAGTCATACCTTGATTTTCAATACTTCGTTCTCTTTGTTCATTTCTAAGAGCTGTAGGTCTTTTCCTTTCATCTCTTTCATGAGCAAATCCAAACTGCAACAAGAAGGATCCATTTCAGTATTGGAGCCATTCGGAAGGTTTCCATAGCGCTGAAAGGGACAAGCATGAGAATCTCAGACCTGACTATTCTCTTTTCTATAGACTTTGACAACAATAATTATCACTCAGTATTACATACATCAAAGAGGATTCAGGTCAGCACAAATAAAAGAAATCTTTTGAAATATTAATGGAGAATTCTAGGTGAGGCAGCTGGCCTCTATATTTGCTCACATTTTAACAGATTCTTGTATTAAAAGAGGTAGAACTCTATCTTTTATGCCTCTCATATTTCCTACAGTTTCAAATATACTGTTAAGTGCTTCTTAGGAGATATATAGTATCCATAGGCCAGATTTTTTAAAATTTAAGTTGTAGGCCAGGCGCGATGGCTCACGCCTGTAATCCTAGCTCTCTGGGAGGCAGAGACGGGCGGATTGTTTGAGCTCAGGAGTTCGAAACCAGCCTGAGCAAGAGCGAGACCCCATCTCTACTAAAAT